CATCAAATTTTCATTTTTGGGTGAACTATACCTTTAAAGCACTTTTTCCCACATGTCCTTTTCAAAGCTATGTTTATTTAGTAGTAAAATATTAAAGCAAAAAAATGTTTTAAGTAAAAATAATGGCTATCACAAATTTGCTAAAGCTAAAAATTAAAATTAAAATGTTTCACATTTACAAAATAGTTAAAATATTGAATAGGAATGTGCTACAACAGTTTTTGCTCTGGTATCAAAAGTGTAAAAGATAGATTTTTAGGGTTTTGTAAGTGTTTTTCACAGACATGTCTCTTCAACTGTCAAGTCGTGTTGATTAAACTTCGCTTATGGCAGTCTATACAGTGTGCAGCATCATAGACTGGTCAATTTTCTTCCTATATGAGATACAGAATGCAGACAAAATAGTACCACCACTGTGAAGAATTGTCTGTCTTACAGGGCATGTTGTCTTTTTATATGCCGTGTTGTAGATATGATCGTACCTGTGATGATTTATGATACAGCCATAATCTGATATTCCACTGCTTCACCTCATTTGTGTGTATCACCCACGCATTAGCTCCCCTCACAGGCCAGACTCATAAGCAAAGCTCACTTCAGCGACTTTTACCCTTTACCGTTTTTTTTTTTTTTTTTTGGGGGGTGTTTTTTTTTTTTTTGGGTTTTTTTTTTTTTTTTTGTTCTGTTTTTTGTTTGGATTTTTTGCTTTTGGTTTATTTATTTATTTTTATTTATTTATTTGTGGGAGTTTGTTTTTTGTTTGGGTTTTTAGTTTCTTTTTGTTCTGTTTTTTGTTTGGATTTTTTGCTTTTGGTTTATTTATTTATTTTTATTTATTTATTTTTTGTGGGAGTTTGTTTTTTGTTTGGGTTTTTAGTTTCTTTTTGTTCTGTTTTTTGTTTGGATTTTGTTTTGCTTTTGTTTTGTTTTTCTTTTTGTTCTTTTTTTTTTTTAAACGGCAAAGAATTAATATAAATAAATCAATCTTATTCAGGACAACATCAGAGTGAGTAAATGGTGGCATAATTTTATAACTTTCCTTGCTGGTTTAATAAAATTCAACAAATAAAAAGCTGTACTGTACTTACTATACTGTACTTGTTTTTAGCGCTTCATATCAACTTCTCCTTTTTGTCTAGGGTTACCAAACGACAGGCTTCCCCATGACAGAGCTCCAGCGGTTTCTGATGGGGCAGAAGGAGGATTTCCCCCTCCAGGGGCAGGAGGGGGTCGGCACAGAGTGTGGTGAAGCCGAAACCGTCCACCCTTCAGTTATGCTGTGTTGCTGCAAAAGGTACAGCATATAATCGTAGACATCAGCTGCAGGGCAGCAGTGTTTCCTCCAGAGCTGAGGTCAGCCCACTATGGCATGAGAAATGGAATTAGTGGTGGGAGAGAAAGACGGACACACCCAGCAAAGTGCTGATTACAGAGAAATGTTCTCTGTGGGGGGAAAAAATTGAGAAGGCTTGCCCTTGCCTAGCAGGAACGATAAACAAACGAGAGTTTAGAAATGAAAAAGTTGCCCCCATATTGATGCCCATTATTGTTACTGAGCTTTTTTTTCCCTCTGGGGAATATTGCTAGAGCTTTTTGTCTTGTAAGTTTCTAGCTGTTTTGGGTTGCAATGCGAGAAAACGTGAAACTGAACTCCGAATGGAGGACTCATTGTTTGCTTGAGTGTCAGATGCGATGGAAAGCCCGGCTATAATTTAATGCTGGTGTGTTGCCCCTGAAAACTGTTTTTATCCTTCTTTTTCACTACAGGTGCTCTCACTCACTTATTTCTGATGGTCAGATCTCTCAGAGCTGATTGTCTAGCAGTGTGAGCGAACGCTCTTTTCCACAAGCTATTATGAAGCTATCAGCCACCAACTGACTGTTCGAGGTTTCTTTTTTTCTCATTCTATCATACGCAGTTCACGCTATACTTTCTAACCCTCTCTTGGAGTTACACACGCCCAGCTGGCAGCTTCTAAATATGGAGATTTCAGGTTGTTAGCCCCAGGGGAGCTTTGATATATGCTGCGTTTAGTTCAGCACTTGAAATCAGAAACACAGAGGGTAGTCATATCACATTATCTTCACCTAGCGTACCACGTCAGTTTCATCCAGGGCACATTTCAGCTCTTATAAATGCATAAAAACACTGCATTGTTGCTTGACCATAGCTCCATGGACTGTGATATTTACTGCAGTGAGGTTATCACCTCTATATAAGGAACTCTGATTTCACTCAAGCTATTTTATTTCAAGTGTTCTTTTTTCAAACATACGGAATGTGGCTCATTCTTATTTCCTTTAAATCCGTAAACCATTCATAAATACAGATTGCAAGAAGTGAAGATTATACTTTAAAGAATAAAACACACACACACACACACACACACACACAT